TAACCTAGAATCCTCCCCGAAAAACGCCTGAACTAATATATCATTTCTTTTCTTTTTCTTTGCAGATCGACACATGTCGTCATGCATACCGCAAATGCATGCTCACACAGCTAAGCACGCTCTAACTGCAAAAACTAAAGGAGGCACTGTATAGGGCGTGGCATACCCAGCATGACGCCGCAAGTTCCGCTGCAATGTCTTAGGGACCCTTACTTTGGGAACCCTAAGAGAACTTATAGACCATGTACATACCTATACCTTAGACAGACCAAGGGCCTTATCAGGGGACCATGTACTGGCCCTAGACTCTTGAATCTGAAGCAGCCCTATGATGACTCCGACTCAGCTTGGCCGGCCTCACCGATGTCCTCCAGCTCACTAGGTGCACGCTGCACCTGTTGCGTCTGCCGTAAGTCCTTCAAATGAAGCCAGCACTGAACGCCTTCAGCGTGTCCCGTCGGCTTTAATCTGGCCTGTTGCGCCACCATGTATGTTGAAGGACGCTCCAACATCCTTATCCATAGCCGGCCCAAGGATTGCTCAGAGTTCTCATGTCGGCTCGCATACCCCTGGACTTGTTGACACACTGTCCCCCAATCTGTTGGTCGCACAAAGCTTCGCAACAATGGCATGGACCGGTGTGAACCGTCGGCGCTTCTCCTGCTCGATCTTCCCCTCTTGCGTTGCCGGTCCTTGTAACTCAGATGCACCTGAAGAACGCCCAGCTGATCCCTCACATCCACCAGCAGCATCATTTCCTTCAGGCCTGGCGTCTGCAGCAGAGCTGTGCTATCTGAAAGGTCAGAGGTCCTTGACGGTGGACTTTGTTGACGGTGAAAGGATGCGGGGGTCGTGGGGGTTGAAGGCTGAGGGCTTCCAGCGTTGGAAAAAACCTCTGCTTCGGGTACAGCGTAGCACTCTGCAAAGCACTCGGTATCCAGCTTCATGGCCAGCAAATGGCATGGCCCATTGCAGCCATTATGCGGGACCACAACATGGAAGATGTCAACACCGAGCCGCCCACTACTGGACTGTAAGGAGACACGAAGACAGGGAGGTGCAGCGGACTCAGTTTCTAATTCATCCCATCTGGAGATGAAACTTCGGAACCGATCCATTTCCTTCTCGTCATGAACGAGAAAGTCCTCGAACTTCTTGCCTTGAAGGCCCTCGTTGATTGAGAGAAGACGGTTCAGCCCCGCGCCATCATCCTGGATGCATAGCTGCTCATCTAGCAGCCTTGGATGGCTCTCTGGGAAATGAAGCGGAGGGGGGGGCTGCAGGGCTTGCAGTAGGGTCTTACCTTGTGCCTTGTGGGGTTCGGGCGGTTTTAACCAGACGATGCTTCTGCTCATCTAGCAGCATTTCAGCATCACAGACACCGCGGAGGAGCCTCCGGAAGCTCGATATCATCGACTCTGCATCCACGTGTCGGATCTCCGCGGACTTCCGGCTTCGGAGGGTGTGTTCATGCACGACGGACGTGGCCATGATCATCAGCGTCAGGCACATCTGGCCTACCATGAACTCCAGCACTCCAAGGTTCCAGCCGTTTGTTGTACCTATGCTCCCCTTAGAACCTTAATAAGAATAATAATTACTCTTCATGTCCTCTTGGGTTTTATGTAAACAAGAAACTGAAAAAAATAATTCCCAAGGGGGAGATATAGGTACCGTAGCGAGCGACTTCTGCCACCATCATGGCTATCTGACCAGGCACGTTGACCGTGCTGTCAGCGAAGCAAACAACCGCTGCAAACTGAGCCGCAAGAATTGTCTTCTGGTGCGTCATAGTTTGTTCACCGGCGCCGTGAGGGAAGAACCAAAGAAACGCGATTATCATGAGATAGTAAGCTCCGAAAAGATATCTTAAACTATTGGCAGAAAGACGTAGTGATCCATTCGCTAGGGACGTATGCATTCCATAGGAGAAGAGACCCAAGAGCATCATACCTGCACACGTAGCCAAGTCTTGCCCATAGGTCATGGGAATTGTGATCAAGGTCAGTAGTGTTGCATGCTGCAAAATCCGGCAAGTCAACACATAGTTCTCCTCCCTTAGGAGATTCATGGCCTCATCAACCCGCTTCGCTGAAGTCTGCCTGGATAGGTTGGAATGTAGTATGCTGCGACGAACTTGCTGAATGTAGCTCAACACCTGCTGGCATAGCAGCACCACATCTGCCTTCGTCCTCCACCAGTGGAATGTAGCGATAACAATGCTCCAGGCCAAAAGCACCCCAGCCGCGGCTTCCTCCATGGCCCTCTTGGCCCTATTCTGCTGCACGCCAGTGGGGATGCTAAGTGTTATGAGCCATGAGCTACGCAGAAGCTCTTATCTCTTGCATAGTTTTCTGGCTTCGACTCGACGATGTTGCCGCATGTGCACTTTATTTGAAACCATGATCTACTTCTACTTGCAGGGAGCCTGCTTTGCGTGATCCCAAGTCTATCCTGGTTGAACAAGGGACGACTGGTCATCAGAACACAGGAATGATGGAGCATCTTTTGGCTACTGGGTTTGCTCGTTCCTGCCGCAGCAAGCGCTCGCTGGCGGCAGAGTGTTGGTGAAACCGGCCTCCCGCAAGCCAGCCACCAAGTCCCTCTCAGACTAAACGAAAACCTTGTTTGAGGAGATTTAAAGAGTGTCGTGGGGGTGGGTCACAGTGCCAACCTGTAATAGTCAACACGGATGCGATGGACTCACTTGCCACCTCTGGCAAGGAGGCAGGTCCGATGGTGTGACTAGATCCTTGGTGAAACCTGCACGGACTGGCTTCTTGCCACCTGGCTGCCCAAAACCCATTGAAGAGTGGGCATCATGGTCTTACGCATCCACGGTCCACGTGCTCTAATCCTAGCCGACGCCTCTCTGTACAAGCATTGGGCACGGCTCCCGGCGACCCTGCTCAAGTCAGGAATTCCTGGCCTTGGGTCGCGAACAAACGCCCCTAAACCCTAAACCCTAAACCCCAAACCCCTAAACCCTAAACCCCTAAATCCTAAAAATGGCACCAAAGTGCAACAGATCTTCTGCCAAGAGCTCAGGTGCCAGCAAGTCATTTGCCTTCTTTGGCATACCAGGCGGCCCACTCTTCTTCTGTCCAGTCCTAGCTGCTGCTGCTTCATGAGTCTTCATGCTGCCGGGATTTTTTCGAAGGTGTACCACTTGAGAGCGGGCGACGTTTGCCAAGAACAGCAAAAGAACAGTCTTGCAGCTGCTCAAACTTTCTCTTTACTGACCCCATTCGTCCTCATCGTCATCTCCACCGCCATAAACATCCTGCAAGCAGCAACGCAGTATGGTACCTAGTATTTGCTTCAGAACCACAAAAACTAAGCGAGAACAGCCCCCATATTACCCTGGAAAAGGAAGAACATTCTCTTTATCTTTGGGGGGGGGGTTCTGAAGCAACGAGTATGGTCACATCATCAAGCCCACGGGTCCTCCCACTCTGAGTTGGCGTTGAACTTGGTGTTCTTGTTTATCTTGGTGTTGGCCTTGTTGTCCTTCTGAGCCTTCTGCCCAGTCTCTGCCTGCGTAAGTTTCTCCCCCAAAATTGCCCTGAAAGTGCTGTCAGTTGTCGCAACGGAACGCAGGGGGGACATGAGAATCCTACCGGGTGAATTCCTTCTCCACTGAACTCGACAAAGACCCCCTGGTTCTTAGTAGGGAATGGAATTAGGGCCCTATATCAGTTCTTTAGGAGCGTATATAGGGCGCCTCATTCCCTACTAAGAACGAACCAGCCAGAAGAGATGGAAGAAGGCACTTCCGAGTCTTTCATTTCACTGTACGGGCGACACCAAAGGACTCAAGAGCATGAGCAGGAAGCATCTGGTAGAAACACGATATGGGGGGTGCACGATAAGAAGGACCCCTAGTATAGATCCCCAAATATTCGGATCCCCTTAAAATAAGGACCCCAACAAGGCACCCCTCATATCGTAAACCCCCCCATATTCCCAAGCAGCATACACATGTTGCATGCATGTCGGGGGGCACGGGCATGAGGCCTCCAAGGCATTGAAGACGATTTGTTGGCAGAATGTTGCAAGACACCAATCAGAATCATTGAGCACAGGATGACAGTAATCATGCAACGGTCTGAGGTGTGCTGTCAAGTGTGAGAACTCGCCGGTAATTCGTCGAAATCATACACCGAACAGAAAGACCACGTTGTGTTGCCGAGACAGGGGTTGTTGATACGGATGCAGACATTTCAGAAGCATCGGCTGTCGATGGCTCGGAGGCTGATACATGCTTCGCTGATCTGCGCAAGGGATCCTTTCACAAGCTCTGCATTGTCAAGACCACGACATACCCACCTTCTTTTGCTTGGCGATGTCGGCCATGATTTTCTCAAGCTCTTCGAGACTCAGCAGATCGCATCTATAGCTGGGGTTTACGCAAATAAAGGACCCCGAAAAAATAGTCGGACACCCTAATAATCAGGACCCCAATAAGGTACCCGCCAAATGACATGAAATTTGTGAAACACCTAAACCCTAAACCTTAAATCCTAAACCCTGGCGCCAATCACTGGGGGGGCGGTGTGGCCAGAACAGTACCCAGCTGATGCTCATGATGCTCGGCTCCTGGCTCGCCAAATGGCTTAGGGGGCGGTGTGGCCAGAACAGTACCCAGCTGATGCGCATGATGCTCGCCTCTTGGCTCGCCACAAGGCGCCAATATGCGCCAATCACTGGGGCAGTTTGTTCTGCAAGCGTCTGAGGCTGAGGGGGCGGTGTGGCGCCAGAACAGTACCCAGCTGATGCTCATGATGCTCGCTCCTGGCTCGCCAAGTGGCGCCAATCACTGGGGCAGTTTGTTCTGCAAGCAACTGAGGCTTAGGGGGCGGTGTGGCCAGAACAGTACCCAGCTGAAGCTCATGATGCTCGCCTCCTGGCCCGCCAAATGGCAGCAACAGCAATCACTGGGGCAGTTTGTTCTGCAAGCGTCTGAGGCTTAGGGGGCGGTGTGGCCAGAACAGTACCCAGCTGGTGCTCATGATGCTCGCCTCCTAACCCGCCAAATGGCACATCACTGGGGCAGTTTGTTCTGCGAGCGTCTGAGGCTTAGGGGCGGCGTGGCCAGAACAGTACCCAGCTGATGCTCATGATGGAGCAGTTTGTTCTGCAAGCGTCTGCGGCTTAGGGGGCGGTGTCATGATGCTCGCCTCCTGGCCCGCCAAATGGCAGCAATCACTGGGGCAGTTTGTTCTGCGAGCGTCTGAGGCTTAGGGGGCGGTGTGGCCAGAACAGTACCCAGCTGATGCTCATGATGCTCGCCTCCTGGCCCGCCAAATGGCAGCAATCACTGGGGCAGCTTGTTCTGCAAGCGTCTGAGGCTTAGGGGGCGGTGTGGCCAGAACAGTAACCAGCTGATGCTCATGATGCTCGCCTCCTGGCCCGCCAAATGGCAGCAATCACTGGGGCAGTTTGTTCTGCAAGCGTCTGAGGCTTAGGGGGCGGTGTGGCCAGAACAGTACCCAGCTGATGCTCATGATGCTCGCCTCCTGGCCCACCAGATGGCAGCAATCACTGGGGCAGTTTGTTCTGCAAGCGTCTGAGGCGTAGGGGGCGGTGTGGCCAGAACAGTACCCAGCTGAAGCTCATGATGCTCGCCTCCTGGCCCGCCAAATGGCAGCAATCACTGGGGCAGTTTGCTCTGCAAGCGTCTGAGGCTTAGGGGGCGGTGTGGCCAGAACAGTACCCAGCTGAAGCTTCAGCTCATGATGCTCGCCTCCTGGCCCGCCAAATGGCAGCAATCACTGGGGCAGCTTGTTCTGCAAGCGTCTGAGGCTTAGGGGGCAATGTGGCCAGAACAGGACCCAGCTGATGCTCATGATGCTCGCCTCCCGGCCCGCCAAATGGCACCAATGACTGGGGCAGTTTGCTCTGCAAGCGTCTGAGGCTTAGGGGGCGGTGTGGCCAGAACAGTACCCAGCTGAAGCTCATGATGCTCGCCTCCTGGCCCGCCAAATGGCAGCAATCACTGGGGCAGTTTGCGGTGTGGCCAGAACAGTACCCAGCTGAAGCTCATGATGCTCGCCTCCTGGCCCGCCAAATGGCGGCAATCACGGGGGCGGTGTGGCCAGAACAGTAATGTTGTATCCTGATTAGTGTGCTCCCCCGGAATTGTGGAAAATAATCCAAAAATTATTCAGGTGGATCTATTTGAGGAGGACCCCCGGAATTGTGACAAAAAAGCCGGGCGATGCAAAATTTCGGCGAGGCTGTCGAATGGTGTTGTCGTCCGGAAATCGCTTCTGAACTGAGCCTGAGGTTGTCAGGCCCTGAAATCTTCAGTCTCCTGGCCAGCCCCAAAACTAAGATTTCCTTATTCGCCTCGGCTTCCTGCCAAGAAGCGTCTGGAACAAGCAGACCCGGATCGGCCTCCTTCCCCCT